TCCCCGTCCTCTCCCTTTTCCTCATTCTCGCCATCACACATCCAGATCCATGTCCTCGAGACTCTCTTCCCAACCATCCTGTGGTGTTGGGTCCTCGTTTTGAATAGACAGCGCCCCGCGTCTCCTCCTTCCTTCCTTCCTCCTCCCCCTCCTCCCTCCTCTCCTCCTCCCCCTCCTCCCTCCTCCCCCTCCTTGCCTTTGCCCTCGGCACACCTCTCACACGTTTCGTAGCCCCATAGGGAGCTCCACCGAAGGCCCCAGTGGGGGTGTTCGCATGCGATTCCTTCACCCAGGGCAGCGTTTCGTGGCCCCATAAGGAGCTCCACCGAAAGCCCCACTGGGGGTGTTCGCATGCGGGTCCCCCACCCAGGGCAGCGCTTCGCGGCCCCAAAGGGGGGCTCCACCGAAGGCCCCAGTGGGGGTGTTCGCATGCGCCCCCCCCGCCCGGGACAGCGTTTCGTGGCCCCATCGGGAGCTCCACAGAAGGCCCCAGTGGGGGTGTTCGCATGCGGGTCCCCCACCCAGGGCAGCGCTTCGTGGCCCCATACGGGGCTCCACCGAAGGCCCCAGTGGGGGTGTTTGCATGCGGGTCCCCCACCCAGGGCAGCGCTTTGTGGCCCCATAGGGAGCTCCACCGAAGGCCCCAATGGGGGTGTTCGCATGCGCACCCCCCACCCAGGGCAGCGTTTCGTGGCCCCATAAGGGGCTCCACCGAAGGCTCACTGGGTGTGTTCGCATGCGGGTCCCCCACCCAGGGCAGCGCTTCGTGGCCCCACAGGGAGCTCCACCGAAGGCCCCAGTGGGGGTGTTCGCATGCGGGTCCCCCACCCATGACAGCGTTTCGTGGCCCCATAGGGGGCTCCAGAAGGCCCCACTGGGGGTGTTCGCATGCGGGTCCCCCACCCAGGACAGCGTTTCGTGGCCCCATAGGGGGCTCCACCGAAGGCCCCACTGGGGGTGTTCGCATGCGGGTCCCCCACCCAGGGCAGCGCTTCGTGGCCCCATAGGGGGCTCCACCGAAGGCCCCATTGGGGGTGTTCGCATGCGGGTCCCCCACCCAGGGCAGCGCTTCGTGGCCCCATAGGGAGCTCCACCGAAGGCCCCAATGGGGGTGCCCGCATGCGGTTCCCCCCGCCCAGGGCAGCGTTTCGTGGCCCCATAAGGAGCTCCACCGTAGGCCCCAATGGGGTTGCCCGCATGCGGTTCCCCCACCCAGGGCAGCGCTTCGTGGCCCCATAGGGGGCTCCACCGAAAGCCCCACTGGGGGTGTTCGCATGCGGGTCCCCCACCCAGGGCAGCGCTTCGTGGCCCCATAGGGAGCTCCACCGAAGGCCCCAATGGGGGTGCCCGCATGCGGTTCCCCCGCCCAGGGCAGCGTTTCGTGGCCCCATAAGGAGCTCCACCGTAGGCCCCAGTGGGGTTGCCCGCATGCGGTTCCCCCACCCAGGGCAGCGCTTCGTGGCCCCATAGGGGGCTCCACCGAAAGCCCCACTGGGGGTGCTCGCATGCGGGTCCCCCACCCAGGGCAGCGCTTCGTGGCCCCATAGGGAGCTCCACCGAAGGCCCCAGTGGGGGTGCCGCGTGCGGTTCCCCACCACCACCATTGTGGCAGGCTCCTCACACAGTTCGTGGCCCCATAAGGAGCTCCACCGAGGACGATATTCACAACTGCGGTACTCACAACTGCATATGGTTGGGTCCTTCGCCAGGCTAATTTTGTTGTGCTCGCGGATGCCCCGCGCAGAACGTGTCCGTGCGACCGCCTGCCCATGGGATCGCGCCCCAGAATCCAGACCGGCTCCTCGGGTCCATCTGTGGCCGTGTCTTTCTCTTTCTCCTTGGCCTCCCCTGGGCACCTGGCCCGTCCAATCGGCGCCGATCCATAGTTTGTGATCCTCCTTTCCGCTCCCCCTTCTCACTCCCACTCCTTCCTCCCTTCCTGCTCCCTCCCATCCTCGGATCTGGGGGGATCGGAGTGGGGACGGAGCGAGTGGGGACTAAGGTCAGCAGCAGTTCCTGCCCATGCCGAGCGAGTTGCTGTCGGTGTCGCCGCGGACGTCCGATGTCGCCTGCCCAACAGCGGCCGCTCATGCAGCATTCGCCGCTGGGCATCCCTGCCCGCTTTTTCCCCCCCCCCCCCCCCCCCCCCACACCGGGCGTATCAATTTGCTTCCCCACGTTCCCGTCATTCCCACTCACAGTCCGTCCTCCCCCTCCTGCTCCCTCTTGTCCTCTGACCTTTGTGCTCCCTCCTCTCTCCTCCCTCCCTCCCCCGCTCCTCCCGCGCCGGTGCTCCCTCCATTCGCCGCCTTTCTTCCCTCTCCTCTCATTTTCTCACCATTTCTTCCCCCCTTCGCTCATCCCCTCCCTTTTTTTTGTTGTTGTTGTTTTTTTCCTCGTCATCATTGTTCATTATTCCACCCAGTCTCGCCCTACGACCTCGCCCTCTTGTCTGCCAGCGCTTGTGCCTCCCTTCTTCCTCCCCCCGTCAGCCTTGTCTTTTGTTACGACCTTCCTCTTTTTTTTTGTTCTCTCTCTCTCTCTCTCTTTCCGTCTCTCTCTGTGTGCATGCACGGATGCAATCAGACACATATGTATGTATCAAAGGCGCCAAAGGCGAATCACCGCCGCCCAGTGCCTTTTAGGAGACGCCTATGTGGCCAAACGTTCGGGCAAAGTTTTCCCGCGCTATTGAGCCATGCGATTCCCCAGCCTTTGGAAGCCCTTCGGAGAACACGTGGGCGAGGAAGAGGAGGATGATGAGAGGGAGGAGAACGGAGGATGAAGAAAAGGATGATGAGACCTCTTGGGAGCTTCTTGCGCCATGTCGTCGTGGGCCTCCTGGGAGTTTCCTGGGTGCCTCTTGGAGGCCTCTTGGGGACTCCTTGGGCCTCTTGGGGGTCTTGGGGGCCTCTTTGGCCATCTCGAGGCGTTCCTGGCCCATCTGACGCCGTTTGAAGCCGTCTTGGGAGCCTCTCTGGGCCGTCTCGGCACCCTCTTTGGGCGCTTCATGTTCGTCTTGAAATCCACCTTGGGCGTCCTGAAGGCCTCCTGGGTCGTCTTGGGACCTGTGGGGGTTTGGCGTCCTGGGGCCATCTTGGAGGCCTCTTGAGCGATCTTGGAGCAATCTTGGGGGTCTCTTGGGCTGTTGGAAGGCCGACGGAAGGCCGTTTTGAAGCAAATGCCACAATCGCCTCTTCGGGCCTTTCTGGAGGACCTCTTCGAGGCCTCTTGAGCCGTCATAAGGGGCCTTTTGGGCGCTTCTTGGGCCATCGTGGACCATCTGGGCGCTCGTGGAGACATCTTGGGACCGTCTTGGAGACACGGGCTCCGGGGAGGCCGAAGAAAGCCCCTCGACGGCCAAAGCCGTCCAAGACGCCCCAAGACGGCCCAAGGGCTCCAGGACGGCCCAAGGGGGCCCCAAGAGGGTCCAGCAGGGGCCCGAGAAGACCTCCTGGAAGGCCTGGAACACAGGCTCCCAAGAGCTCACATTGACGTGACAAGTTCGTAAAACCAGTGCTCCCCAAAGCGAGAGGAGACGTAGACAACCGCGAGCGGTGACGTAACACGCTCTGAACACGAAAGGCTCCCAAGAGCCCACAGTGGCGTGACAAACTCTTGACACCAAGGCTTCCAAGAGCGAAACGTGCCGTTAACAGCTCTGACCACCAAGGCTCCGGAGAACGAGCGGTGACGTAAAAAGCTCTGAACACCGAGGCTGCCCCAAAAAACAATAGTAACGCGATAAGCTCCTAACACCCACGCTCCCAAGAGCCAGTGGAGACCTAAACTGATCTAAACATCAAGACTCCCGGGAGCTCACAGTCACGTGATAAGCTCGTCACACAAAGGTAGCTCCATAACACCCAGGTTCCCAAGAGCGAACGGTGCCATGAGCCATCTCGGGCAAGATTCTGAGCGCTCTTTCCGTTCCAGTACGGGCACAGGTGACAGAAAGAGCGAGGTACGAGTGATGACGTTTTGGTGTCGCGAAGCCTTCCAGGGAGGGGTTCCAGGGGAGGGCGCGCAACTGGGAGTAAGTCTGCCTCCCGGCCCCAAGAAGGCCGAGACGCCCACGACGGCCCCAGGTGCCCCCAAGATACCCCCGAGAGTGATCCAAGAGGGTTCAAGACGGCTCCAGAGTGCTCCAAGAGAGCCCAAGTCCGCCCAAGAACGTTCGAAGATGCCCTCATATGGCCTCAAGATGGTTCCAGAGCGTTCCAAGATGATTCAAGAGGCCCTCAAAAGGACCCCCGAGAGGGCCTGAGGAGGCCAAACACATTGAAGCCTGGCGAAAAACCCAACCATATGCAATTGTGAGTAATGCAGTTGCCAGTGTTGTCTTCGGCGGAGCTCCCTGTAGGGTCACGAATTGTGTCAGGAATGTGCTGAAATGGGCGCGGTGAGCGCATGCGAAAGCAGACATTGGGATCTTCGGTGGAGTTTCCCTTGGGGCCACGAAGCGTCTGAGGGTATGTCGAACTGGGTGCGGCGGACGCAGGCGAACACTGCCACTGGAGCCATCGGTGCAGCTCCCTATGCGGCCGCGAAACGTGTGAGGTGTATTCCGACATGAGCACGGCAGGCGCATACGAAGGCAGCCACTGGGGCCTTGGTGGTGCGGCGGGCGCGTGCGAACGCAGCCATCATGGCCTTTGGTGGAGCTGCCCGAGGGGCCGCGAAACTTGCGAGGGTGTGCCGAAATGGGTGCGGCAGGCGCCTTGGAATCTCGGGAGCGCAGTTCCATCCTTGTTAGCAGGGGATCGTGGCCTCGCAAGCGCGGATCCATTCTTCGCGGGGGAAACGGATGGGGGCGGTGCATGAGCTTGAACGTTTCACAGAAGTTTAGGCAACCCTTGGCATTCTACCAGGTGTCAGGGAGCCAGGGGGCTCGGTGGCGGATCGATTCTGTCCTCGTACGAGAGAGCCCGAGAGTCGGCGAGGCTTGCGCCGTCTCCCCAGCGACGCAGCGCCCCCACCCCTTCCCTCGCCGCGCAGGCTGGGGCCGACAGGCCCAGGCACGCCGCCGAGCCGGCGCCAGAGCCGGAGCGCGTGGGCTCGGCAGGCCGGAGCTGCCCCACCCAGGGGCGCCCATGTGTTAGCAGGGGCGGTCCGGGTGAGACTTGCTTCCCCGCTAAGTTCCCCCAGCTCTCATCTCACATCCCCCTCCTAATCCCAGCAGCGGCTCCTCCTTCTTCCAGCAGGGGCGTCCCCTCCTCCCCTCGCTCCCCCTCGGCGCGCGCTCGTGTCGGTCCCCACGGGGGCGGGGATCCCGGCTGGCGCCCAGGGGGTTTTGCCGAGAGCTCCCGAGGGCGGCGGCGCTCCGAGGGGCCGTGGTCCAGCTGCCACCGGGACGGCGGACGATTTTGGCGGAGCCAGGGGCCCGCGTTTGACGGGTGTGGCGGCGGTCTTCAGGGTGGGGAGCGTGACGCCCGCACGCGTGGCAGCGCGAGCCGTCGTGCACACACGGGGGAGTGCTCAAGCCATCGACGGCGCTGGCCCAGGTGGAGGCAGGCATAAGGAACGCTGCCAGCGGATTGTCTTGAATCGGCCTACCCGTGGCCGCCAGGCTTGATTAGATCAAGCGCCATATGCGGATGGGGAGGAAGGCGCGTATTGCTGTGGGCCCCAGTACTGTAGGACACCAAGCTCAATATCTCGTCATTCTGTGGCTCCGTCTTGAGGACAGCTTCGTCCTGCCCGTAGCTAGACGGGCAAGGGCGCAGACAAGGGCAAAGCGGCGTTCATCCGTGCTGAGTTGCCTCCAAATTTTCTTTCTGAGCCTGCTGAGTGCAAGGCGTTGCGCTCGCATGTGCCAACTCGGCGCGCATCGTTGCGAGGAGCGTGGCGCTGCATCTCCCAGATCGATCGGGCAATCACCCGCTCTGTGTACAAGCCGTCCCGTCCTTATCTTTGTCGCTGTCATCTTCCTCCGGACATCCTGAGTGGAGTTTGTTTTCCGAGATCACTTTCATCTTCCTCACTCTTCTTCTCATCCCCATCATATTCTTCCTCCTTATGCAGGCTACACCCCCCTCATGCAAGCTCCACATCCCCTTCTCCTGCAAGCTCCATCATTCCACCAGTCCCTCGGGTACCGAGGGTTTCCCAGATGCCGTAGTAACCAGTAGCGGCAAGGTTTATGAGCACTACTTTCTTTGCCAGGCTTCTTGCCTCCTCCATCCCTCCAGTCTCTACCGGCATCACCAGTAACAACGATTCTACTTCCAGGGAAGCCGTGTCGGACTGCGTGGGTCATGCGAAGTCTGTACTACTTCTCAGGGATGGGGCCCTCCAGCCTCCAGTGTGTCTTATGACGCAATTTAGCCTCAAAAGCTAAACTCTAAAAGCTCTAATACCTCTCCGATCCAACTCTGACCCGAAGCTCTTTTTCATCTTTGATGTTTGTTGAAACTCTGATTTAGCTTTGGTCTGAACTCTGATTTAACACTGATTCGGCTCTGTCACCAGCCGCCGAAATCAGGTGAATCAGAGCTGCATCAGAGTTGCGCCAGAGTTTCCAGACCAGAGCGAAATCAGAGTTTCAGCTAAATCAGAGATGAATCAGAGTTTCAGGTCAGAGGCAACACAGAGTTTAACCAGAGTATCATCAGAGTTCTGGCAGTTCGGGGCGGAGGGCGCGGGGCGCGCTGCGCAAGTGCGGTTGTGTTCCTGCAAATGAAAGGGGGCACGTTGGGCGAGAACGAGGGCGGGAGCGAAAGCGGGAACGAGGGCGGGAGCGACGGCGGGGACGAAGGCGAAAACGAGGGCGGGACCGAAGGTTGGAACGAGTGCGGAAACGAGGGCGGGAACGAGGGGGGGGACGACGGCGAGAGCGAGGGCGGGAGCGAAGGCGGGAACGAGGGCGGGAGCGAGGGCGAATGCGAGGGCTGGAGCGAGGGCGAATGCGAGCGAAGGCGGGAACGGCAACGACGGCCTTCCTCCGGGAGAGGGGGGGGGCGGCGCCAGCCACCGAGGGCGCGGCCTCTACTTCCTGCGGATGGCCCCTGCCCCGCGACGACCGCCAAAACCGAGGTTCGAAGAATCCCGAGGGCGCTTATAACTATTGTGCTGGCCTTCGGCCAGTGCCGTCGATCCGGGGCGCTCCGGATAATGATGATGATGGTGATGATGGTGATGTTGTTGTTGATGGTGGAGATGATGATTCTGATTCGGATAGTGTTTATCATGGTCATGGACATTGAGAGGAGCATGAATATGGTGTTGACGACGACGAGAATCAGGATTGTGATGCTGGTGATGGTGATGGTGATTGTGATGATGGTGGTGGTGGTGTGCCCACAATGATGCTGATAATCATGATGACGTTGGTGCTGGCGTTGATGATGTGAGTTCTTAGTGTGCTACAGATGATGCAGTTGGTGAGGACGGCGGGTGCGGCCCGCCTCTCAATTCATGATGAAGATCGCTCCTTGGCAGAAGCGCAGGTTGCACGGCTGCAAACGGCACTACAAGAGGCTAAACCGCTGCACGTCCAGCAGATGTCCATCAACATTGGCCTGACCAAGGCCAAAGCAGAGTCGGACAAACAGTTGGATGACGCACAGTTGCCCTTGGATGAGGCCAAGAGGCAAGCTGACGTTTTCCAGCAAGAAGCACGTGAAGCCTGCCAAAGGCCTTGCACAAGATGTAGAGCCGATCCTCAAGATTGGCGAGCCCCAGTTCGCCTCCGCCAGCAAGGAGTTCAAGGAGTGGTTCGGCCAGATGCGGGCAGACGCTGAAGGAGGCAAGCACCTGGACACCTTGCGGCAGGTGCTGGAGGTCCAGGCCGTCTCCATCAAGGAAGCCCAGCGCCAGGCTGGGCCACCTGCCGCAGATGCTGAATCTATTCCTGCTGGTGGTGCTGATGATGGCATGGAGCTCGACGAGCAAAACGAGAAATATCTTGCTGCTGCAGGAGAGGCCCTCCTTGAGGCCAGACGTGCTGCATATGGTGATGCCAACAAGGAAGAAGCAGCACAAACTAGTGCAGCAGCGAAGCGAGCCCTCCGTGATCAACTTGCTTCAATTCGCCAGAAACGAGCGCGTGGTTAATACCCGCGGCAGTTTCGACGACAGAACTGATGCGTTCTACACAGGGTGTGAAGTTCATGCCCATATGTTGTCCGATTGGTGGCTGATGGCAGGTACTGCTTCTGCTGAATATGCCCTTCCAAGTGCCACAGCCGCCTGTGGTAGAAGTGGATGATGGCGCCGTACCTTGTCCAGAGCAGGTCTTGCACGACTGCAGCGAAGAATTCTGGCAGTACAACGCCATTGATGCAGACTGGCCTCACCAGGGCTTTGCTGTTCCTGCGTCGCAGCCCCACAGAGGTTTCCAGGATATGAGGTTTGCGCCTCATGATGCTTGGCAAAGGTGGCCTACTCATGCTACATTAGCGTCCTCGCCTGCGTCGTTGGCGGCCAGTTCTGCTTCGTGTACGGCTGCTGCGACACAATCCCACAGCAACTCGGCTGAGAAGGCTGAGAGGGTCCTTGCCTGTTACCTTCACGATGGGAAGAGGCTGCCCGCGCAGCCTACTGGCGGAGGCCGATCGGATGGAGCTGAGGCTGTTACATGTTTTTTCGAGCGCTGCTCGCTGTCACAGATGATGGCCCAGAAGTGTCAAGATGAAACGACAGCAGATGGTGCTCTCCCGGCCCCGCGTTTATTCCGACCCGGTGATCGACAATTGTGCCTGGAAGAGAGTGGTCTAGATGACCAGCGTTCACCTCATCATGGAGATGTCGTTCGACGCCCTGGCCATAAGGATTGGGCTGGTGCTACTCATGCAGCTGGTGCTGAACTGCGTGCTGCCCATGTTCCTGTTCCTGGTGTACAGCTTAGTGATGCTGCTGATGCTCAGCGGCAGGAGTGTGAGCCTTGCGTGCAGGCTCCTCGCCCTGTTCTCGCTGCTGCTCCTCGTCGTAGGACTCCCAGGGATAGGAAAGCTTCAGGCAGCGAAATGAATGGGCATTCTTTTCCTGTAACGCGAACACCCGGTCTTCCTGGGAGCTGATCTTGGAGCGGGAGATGGGGGGGGGGGGGGGGCCGAGGTCCGAAGCCAAAGTTTTGGGCTGCGCAAGAGACGAGGGTTTCAGATTACGACTTGATAAATCAATATGGAGGGCCCCTCCCTGTGAGCACGAGGTCTCAATGCTGATTTGCGCCCTGCAGTCTGCACGGGCGCGTCTGTCTTATCCACTTCGGCAGGTGCATCGGCTGGGGGCCTCTCTCGCATCTGCCAGCGCGCGTCGCAGCTGGGTGAGGTCAACGCCGTGCCAGAGGCCCTCGGCAGGATCCTTACTAGACATGCCGATGGGGTCTTATCGGGTGGGCTGATTTGGCCGTCTGTGCATTTCTATCACTGTCAGGGGGTCCAGGGCGACGACCTACCTCTGATGGCTGCGTTAGGAAAATATTTCAGTTCTCTGGCTCTTCCATGGGTGATAGGCTGTGGCGCGAATATCATTCCTGGGGCGTCTGGATTATCTGAGTGGTGCCATGGGCCCGGGGCCTCGGTAATCCCTCCTGAGAGAAGGACTTGTGCTGCGGGGTCTGGTCAGGAGTATGGTTATTTCATGGTCTCAGCAGGTTTATCGTCTTGTGTCATCTCCATAAAAAAGGTATGGAGTGAAGCGCCCTGCTCGCCGCGCTCTCCTGTCGAGCTTGCCCTGCGATGGGGTCAGCCTAGCTCTGCCAGTGCACGTTAGAGTAAAGTGGAAAGTGTTCCCTGCTAAGCGTCGCGCTGGATGCCTTCGTGAGCCTCTGCAGTTGCCCCGGGCCTGGGACGCGGGGGGCGCGGGGGGCCTGCGCCTGGAGGTTGCGTGGGATCAATGGGTTCAAAACGTCGAGCTGGAACTGTGCCGCATCTTTGACATCGCGGGGGGGGGGATTTCGTTGGAAGGGCGGATGGTTTCAGGAGGAAGCATGTTTCCTTGGGCCCTGTCTTGGAAGGTAAGTGGTTTGCGCATAGCACTCGTTTTCGTGCCTGGCGAGCTCTAGACGCGCTTCGCGTCGAGGTTGCAGCGTGCGCAGGAGACCTGGGTTGCGCGCGTCCATTC